CTACATTTCAAAAAAGAAGAAATACTATAAAAGTATTTGGACAAGTTGAATTGAATCATACATGCTTAATTACAGTAATTTCTCTTGTTTGCTTGCATAGATTCTTGTGAACAAACAAAGCAGAGGTTGCCACAATTCTCTGTGATCTATCCTTAATGTGATGGGGCTAATTAACTGTCCTTGTTGGCTAAGGGCTCAGGAGGAAAGCATTTCTGTTAGGGAAAAGGACTTGGGATTTTAATTTATATAAACCATAATAAAAACATAGGAAGAAAAGAGACTTGGAGAACACAGGAGCATGAATTGGCATAGATAATAAGCCCTTAATAAGTGCTTTCTTATGATGTGAAGATGTTAGAGTTCTCTGAGACATGTGAATGGTAATTATTTCACCCACTGTATAAATCTCTTTCAGGTCCTGGTGCATATATTATTAAAAGTAGAACTCATCCTTTCACAGAAAATTGAAGCCAAAAAAAGTCAAGTCATTCAGTCAGACAGCAAATGACTGAGAACTAGAACTCAGGGCCTCTGGTCTACCTTATTTTCAACTCTGTCACATGAACTATCTGGGTTCATTTGAAGTTGCAAGTGGTATTTATGTTAGCATTTTCCTAGTACTCTCATGCTTTCTCTTTTTTCAGTATCTGAAATGTTTTATCCAGAACATCAACCATTTTGAGTGCAGAAATTCTATTTTTAAAACTATTACCAAGGAATAAATGCAATAAATATTTTTGTGATTCTCCTCCAATAAGTGTGCATGTGTATTTCTTTCATGTAAGGATGTGTTTATTTAAAAAAAAACACAGACATAAATTCTCCCTATTATTTAACATATTATGAGAACTTTCCCATGTTATTTATATATCTTTTCAAAACATGATTTTTAATGCTGAAAACTAATTCAACAAAAGAATGTACTGCCCTTGACCGGAATCGAACCTGGGACCTTTCAGTCCGCAGGCCGACGCTCTATCCACTGAGCCAAACCGGTTTCGGTGCAAAACATGATTTTTAATGCTGAAAGCTAATTCAACAAAAGAATGTACTATAATTTATTTATTTTAAATTTTATTTATTTATTTATAGAATGAAAGAAAGGGAGACAGAGAGAATCATCAGTGGAGGAAGAGGTAAAAAAATGACTTCTTAAAATATATAACTGAAGCCAATTTTTGAAGGATGCAGAGTTTTAAGGAAGAAAGATAGGTAGAAGCTGGCTTTAATTGCAAGGGCAAAGGAAAGTGATTGCTATATACCCATCTGTCAGTTACTAATGGGCTCCTCTCTGTTTAGCTGGGTGCTTGGCAGTCGGCTATACTACATTTAAAAAATATATATGTTTTTATTGATTTCGGAGAGAGAGATGAGAGAGAAACTTTGACCAGCCACCTCCTGAAGAATGTCCCCGACTAGGGATCAAGCCCAAGGTGCCCACACCCAGAATCAAATTGGCGACCTCCTGGTGCATGAAATTATGCTCAACCAACTGAGCCACACTGGCTGGGCAGCTATACTACATTTTTAACCTCTCTTGCAGATGTATATGACAATGTGACTACAATCTGGCTGCCAAAAGGAAAGTGAGCAGCAGTGATTTTGGTAAATCTTACCTTTAATAGGAAGCTGCTTGACCCTCTTTCCTCTTTGCAGTGTATTAATGGTGAGTCAACCTTGACCCTATGGACTGAGTGTAATACCATGGGTGGAGTAACAAGTTAGACAGAACTGAGTTCCAGGGCACAGAGCCCCTAACCAGTCCTGCATGGTCTAATAGCTCAGACTTTTACCTGGGAGAAAAACACAACTTTAATCTTTATTAAGCCACTGATATTTTTGTCTCCACCTACTCAATATCCTAACTAATAGTTGAGAGAAAGGCAATGAGGATATGAAATCTACTTAGAAAGTCAAACTCCTCTGTCTTCTCTTTTTTTCTTCTTCACTGCCTCTCTTCTAATCCATTCTCCTTTTTCTGTAGTTAAGTATATGTGTACACACACACACACACACACACACACACACACACGCTCCTTCCTATCCCATGGTTCCAGATTTTTAGCTCCATATATTAACAGACTCACATCTTCTGTGCTGTGTGTTTTTCCTGCTTAATCCAGATACCAGTGAAGCAGCCCTGAAGATGGACATCATGTGCTCCCTCAGAGGCTCTCCCCAGAGCACAGTGAGGCAGTAGGCATCTGACCAAGCTGTGGACAGGCACATCTCTTTGGTCACACTGGGCAGAGGGTATTGTTTTCTTTGTACAATAGGATTTGTAAGGAGTAGAGGAGTTGTATTGTTCCTGGGAAGCTTTCTCTCTTTCCATAAAAGGGCATTTCGAGGAAGTCTTCAATGTGGGCAATCACAAATGCCTTATGTTTTCCCTTTCCATCAAAACTAGTTTCTCTACACTACCTTACAGGGTATTTTTAAGTATTGTTTTGGTCTTCCTAGTATCCATGCATTTGGTCACAGAATCTAATTTTACTCTTAATTTTAATTTATGTGGTTTGACTTGGGGCTGACATTGCCATTTGACTCTAGGATTGAATACATAATCTAGTTCTGGCCAAGCTGGAGATATTAGGGGAAAAAATGCTTTTGAAATGATGGGGTTAGCCCTAGCTGGTTTGGCTCAGTAGATAGAGCGTCGGCCTGCGGACTGCAGGGTCCCAGGTTCGATTCCAGCCAAGGGCACATGCCTGGGTTGCAGGCTCGATCCCCAGTAGGGAGTGTGCAGGAGGCAGCCAATCAATGATTCTTTCTCATCATTGATGTTTCTATTTCTCTCACCCTCTCCTTCCCTCTCGGAAATCAATAAAAATATATTTTAAAAAATAAAATGAAATGATGGGGTTACTACACTAGGAGAATATAAGGCTGTAGCTGCTGGGATCAATTTGCCATCCCATGAAGGGAACATATCTAAGAATAAAGTCAATACCAAGGAAAACAGACCAAGAGACAGAAGTCAACCCTAGTGACTTTGTCTAGAAACCTCATACTCTATTCTACTTTATAACCCTTTATGCTTTTTAAAACACTATCATAGCACTGTTATGCTTGAGTCTTTCAAAAACCCTGAGAAATAGATGGTATCATCCCCATTCTATAGAGGAGGAATTTGAGACTCAGAGAGGTAAAGGCAACTTGCAAAAGCCACATAGCAAATTAATTGCAGAGGCAGGACTAAAACCATATTAATTGCCACCCAATCAAACAGTACACTGTTAGGGACATCATTTACCCTCTGTAGTGGGGAGATCAACACAAAGGCCCATCGAACTCTAGGCACAGGTAATTCTGTTACGTCATTTATCCCTCTAGTCTTTTGTAAAGCTCCCTCCCCTTAGTCAGAGCCAAGGGTATCTCTTACACCAGATTTTGCACACCTGTCACTATGAAGGTACAGTCAGTGCTAGTGACAAATGGTTCTCTCACCCTCCACAACTAGTTAAGGATGGGATCAGAATCAAGCAGTAATCACTATTCCAGGCTCCCAGACCAAGTCTTAACATTAATGAGTATGTTGATAATGGAGTTTTTCCTACCATTAATGGGAATTCAGCTGAAATAATCGGCAAGAAACCACAAGAGAGAAATTTCTGGCTGCAGTCGAGAGATCATATTTCAGCTGGATTCTCCTTAATATGTGAGTCAGATGGGAGATGGTGGGGGCCAGGGGAAGAGGCAAAGGATGAAACATGATTCAGGAACTTATAAAAGAGGGAGAAGAGGAACCCTAGTGTTTCTGGGAAGGAATGTCAAGATGTAGCACTTTTCCCAAGCAAAAGTCTTTCATATTTTCCTTCCCTCTTTTTGTTTTTTTTCAGTCTTGTTGTATAGGGATTAAAAAATGCTGGGACCTTAGCCGGTTTGGCTTAGCGGATAGAGTGTCAGCCCGTGGACTGAAGGGTCCCGGTTCAATTCTTGGTCAAGGGCATGTACCTGGGTTGCAGGCACTATCCTCGGACCCAGTCTGGGTGTGTGTCTCTCTCACATTGATCTTTCTCTCTTTCTCTCTCTCCCCCTCCCTTCCATTCTCTCTAAAAATCAATGAAAAAATATCCTCAAGTGAGGATTAACAACAACAGAAATGCTGGGGATTTAATTTCTCTAATTACTTTAGAAGCCCATCTGTGCCCCACTTTGGTGCATGAGCCACTGCTCTGACAAAGGAACCATGTGCTAATCTGGCCAGTTCTCCCTTTCTACAGCCATCCCCACTCCTTACTTCCTACCATCTGGCTATGGGATCACTTTTGTCAGAGAGTAGGGCTGGGATGGAGCTCTAGAAATCCTCCCTACCCAGTTGTGCCCTGATACCATGGGGGCTGGCAAACATCAGAGGACCGTATGACATCAGCCCACAATTTTTAAAAAAATATATTTTATTGATTTTTTACAGAGAGGAAGGGAGAGGGATAGAGAGTTTAGAGAGTTAGAAACATCGATGAGAGAGAAACATTGATCAGCTGCCTCCTGCACACCCCCTACTGGGGATATGCCCGCAACCAAGGTACATGCCCTTGACCGGAATCGAACCTGGGACCCTTCAGTCCACAGGCCAACGCTCTATCCACTGAGCCAAACTGGTTAGGGCAGCCCACAATTTTTTTTAAAAAGTATTTTTATTGATTTTTAGAGAGAGAGGACGAGAGAAACATTGATGTGAGAGTAAAACATCGATAGGCTGCCTCCTGCATACCCCCTACCAACAACCCCAGCACATTTCCTGACCAGGAATTGAACTTTCCTCTCTCTCTCTCTCTCTCAAAAAAAAATCAATGAAACCTCCCTTCCCCTCTCTCTCTCTAAAAAAATCAGTGAAAATATATCTTCATTGATGAGGATTAAAAAGAAAAAAAAGCATTTATCACACTTCTGGCAAAATTTCATAGCCTTATTTGGGTGCATTGGACGATGCCCAACCAGCACAGCCCACTCCTGACCACCAACCAATATCCAAGTACTGCATCTGGGTGGAAGCCTACTCTGGCTAAAGGACTATTTCACCCCCTCTCCAAGGAGACTTTTGCAGCTTTATCTCCCTTTTGCAGACCTGACTTAAGCTCAAGGCTGAGTCATCAGGGTGAGCATGAGAATATCTTTTCTATACTTAAATATAGGCTAATGACATTATAGCAGAATTTTAGTAATGCTATTATATTGATCTGGTTAAAATAATATATTTCCTATAATGAAATATCATGAACAAAAATGGATTTTTCAAATTTTCATTTTATCATCTAGAATGAGACTGGGTGAGCTGTTTGGGAAGAGGAGAAAGTTGGTTTAAATTACTGCTTCCTCCCCCCTCCCCACACCCCCATTGAGCAGCAATTTTCCTTCAACTTCATTTCATGTATTCCTCCCTACTCTCCCAAGAATATGGGGGAGAAATAAAATAGAGCTAAACATGAAACAAAAGGAGTAGAAAAGAGGAAAGTTGCCTATTTTTCTTATCAACTTTTCTTTCCTGCATATCACTGTTCACTCTACCCAGTCATTTCTCAGACTAATCTGCAGCCCACCGCCTCACCACCAGCCTTCCAGAGCGTCCCCTTCTTACTGGAATAAGCGACACCTTTTGGTTCAGGGCTGGCACTGGTCCTGTACAAAGTCCATTAAGTGGACCTTGTTCTCCCCTCTGTCCGTGTTTTACAAGAACCTTGTTCTGTTTCTGAGTGCAATACCCCCAGGGAATCAGCGTGAGCTCAGGGTTTCTCTTTCTCTCTCAGGACCTGGAAATGCTTCTCCTTTTCCTGGTAAACCTTCTGGCCTGAGATAGAATCACTAGAGTCTGGTCACCTGACGGAGAGGCTGGTCTGGGAGCCTGGAGGTACAGGGGCGAGGACCTCTAAGGTCGGAGGAATCACTCGAAGCACTCCAGTGTCTGAAGCACTTGAAATAGCACTGTGTAATGTCAGTGTTAGGCAATCGTTTTAGCCAGTGGACAAAACAGAATTCACCTCCTTGCTTAACACAGAACTCACCTCTTTGCCTTGCCAGTGGAAGCAGTAATCAGAGTTAGAGGGGCCTCAGAGATAAGCAAATTCGACTCCCTTATTATGTAGGTGAGGAAACTGAGACCACCTCCTCTCCTCAGGAGGGGTTGGCAAAGTGACAGTCCTCAGATTCAGTGTAAAACGGGCAAGAGAACTCCAGATGGGTTTTGCTGTGTAGTGGTTTGGAGCCCTGGTCAGGTGGCTCAGTTGGTTGGAGCATCATAGAGTCAGTCAGCCTGTACACCCAAAGTTTGGGGTTCTATCCCTGGTTGGGGCACCTGTGGGACGCAACAAATGGATGTTTCTCTCTTTCTTTCTCTCTCCCCCTCTCTCCCTTCCTCTCTCTCTCTAAAAAAATAAATAAAAATATATCTTCAGGTGAGGATTAAAAAGAAAAAAAAAACATTTATCACATTTCTGGCAAAATTTCATAGCCCTATTATGGAAACCCAGTGGCCTAGATTGTGATTTTTTTCTTTTTTTTAAAAAAGATTTTTTTACTGATTTGTAGAGAGAGAGAAACATCAATGTGAGAGTGAAATATGTATGGGCTGCCTCCCTCATGTCCCACACCAGGGGGGTGTGCCTGCAACCCTTTGGTGAATGGGAGGACACTCAACCATCTGAGCCAGACTGGCCTGGGCTAGATTGTGATTTTCTTCCGGGGGTTTGCCATAAACACCACGTGAGATCTACTATAGGTTCTTTGGGGTTGTATGGCTCAAGCAACAGGGCCATTTACACCCCAGCCTAGACTTGCTGCTGAGAGCTTCCCTGATCTGGGCCCCACTCAAAGCTGGCAGCCTTTTGTGTCACCCAGTCCATGGGTTGGAGTGGTATTTTCAACCGAGGAATAATATTCTGCTTCCAGAACAAAGTCATCTTAATTGGGGGACAGGAGGGTGAGAAATGCAGTAACTTGTCTTTTTCTTTGGAGGGGATGTTCCAGACCACTGACTACCCGCAAAATTAATTGTTGTGGTGGGCCCTTGGGTTTATCCCACCTTTGAAAGCACATGGGAACCTTTACAAAAATTTCCAACCCATTTTCCCATTTTCATACATCTAGTCAGACTTATATTCTGTCTTCAATATTAAGACCGATGTGATGTTTTGAGGTGTGTCCAGAGGGTCCAAGACCCTTCAGAATATGTTATGATAGCCCAGCTGGTGTGGCTCAGTGGATTAAGTGTCGTCTCTTGGACCAAGAGGTCCTGGGTTTGATTCCCGGTGAGGGCACATGCCTGGGTTGTGGGCTCAATCACCAGTGGGGGGCTTGCAGGAGGCAGCTGATCAATGTACCTCTCTCATTGATGTTTCTATCTCTCTCACCCTCTCCCTTCCTTTCTGAAATCATTAAAAATATTTAAAAAAATATATTATGATAGTGGGCATGAAAGTTAACATAACTCTGGTACAAGACTATAAATGTATACTATTGTCCATTCCACTGAACACATGACAGTTAGTTCTGATCCTCCTTTCTGATTAGAATGGGAAATAATACATTCACCAGGTCAGTGGTCACATACCACGTATTTGAGGCAAGGTTAATCTACTTTAGCAAAGATACTAAGTCTGATACAGCAGCTTCAATTTGAGCTACTACTTTTGTGAGTTTGCAATAGTCCACTGTCATCCTCCAGAGTCTGTCTAGGATTCTGCTGAATCAAATGTAAATATGTAAGGGACCACTATCTCTGTATCCTTTAAATCTTTAAGAGTATCACTGATCACTGCCACTTACTATAAGATGTAATGATGTTGTTGTTGTTTTTCATTTTATTTATTGATTTGAGAGAGAGAGAGAGAGACCAATTTGTTAATGGATAATATTCCCCTTTCTCCTATGTATGACTGCCCGAGTAAATGCTAGTAGACACCTTTCTGGAAGGATTGGGGCTATCATAGCCACATACACTTGCCATGTTGTTGCAGGGTCTTTCCTCCTAGAGACCTGGCCTCTCCTTCAGTCATTGGATTCTATGCCTGAAAGCTAGTTCTGGCCCAGAAAACTGGGCAATGAATCATGACTCAGCTCCTTGATCTTCTAACCTTGATTTCTTTTGATTGCTAGGTTGGCCTTCTTTACCTCAGGAACATCGTATACTATTAGTCATCTCCATAGCTCTCTGCAGGTCAGGACTTTCTGGCTGCCATTCCAACCTCATAGCTCATTATGATAATTACATCTATGTTGCTTCAGATGGTTAAGTGCTGCCATCTTGCCTCTATTACTCTAGGGTCTAGTTCCATTGCTATCTAGGAGCCCTGTTCTGAAAGTGCAGGGACAGCCATGACTGAGCTTGTTGGTAATGCCCCTTTCCCCAGAGCTTCCTTTAGGGCGCTAATGTGGCAGAGTCATTTGGTGAGTTTGCTGGTCTTACATGCTATATCCACTTCGACTTTCCTCTTCTCTGACCTTTTGATCCCTAATTTCATCATCTCCCATAGCAATTCTGACACTTTTATTTCATATATTATGACCCTTTGCTTTTTCCAAGCTCTTATAGGGTCCTTGCACTCTCTCATGTGTCCCAGGAGAATGACTCCATATTGTCAACCTCTTCCTAATCCAATTTTAGGTTCAACTTCTCCCCACTTAGATTGAGCTTCAGAATTCTCATAATATACCCCTGGCTTCTGTCAGTACATATTGGTTGTATTGTCTCTTTCCTTCCTTATCAGGTCCTGGCTATTTGTGCTGCTACTTAATCCTAGTTATTGGTCTAGTGGCCAGGTTGGGATGTTGGTTAAATCCAAAAGGGGAGGCACATTTCTAATAAGCCAGATATTTCTGTACCATCTTCAAGCAAGGGAGAACTAACCTTTAGCAAAAGAAATGGGCAACTTATGAAGGCCTAGAAGTACAGAGAACACTGGAGGTTCAATATTTTCAGGAAGATAGACCCTTATATTGCCATTCCATATCCCCCGTTTCCAATCCTTCCCATCAGGACTCTAACCTGGGTATAGCCAGTTTATAATGGCTGAGAATTCAACTTCTCTGGAGCGCTGCAAATCTTATGAAGTCCTGGGCCTGATCCCGATCATCAAGTTTTTCTGCTGTGTGGCATGCAGGAGATGATAGTTTCTTCATACATTGCCAAGAAGGCCCTTTGACTCCACACCTAGCCTTCCCCCCAACCCCACTTTTTGTTGAATGTATTGACACACTTAACCTTTATAGTCTTTCTCCAATTTATTTATTACTCTCAACAACAAACATCTTATTACTTCTCAAAAGTCCTATTACTTCTCAATAGTACAGAGAGTTCCCATTCTCTCCTAGCCTCACCATAGTTTCCTTTGTTACTGACACCTTGCATTAATGTAGTGCATTTAATGTTACAATTGATGAGCCAGTATTGATGCATTATTATTAACTAAAGTCCAGAGTTTACGTTAAGGTCACTTTTTGTGTTGTACAATTCTATGGATTTTGACAAATGCATAATGTCATGTATACACTGTTACAGTATCATATAGAATAGTTTTATAGTCCTAAAAATGCTCTATACTTCACCTATTTATCCCCCTTCCCTAACCCCTGGTAACCACTTACTATCTATAATTTTGCCTTTTATAACCTTGTTTTTAATCATTACTCAAGGATATGTCTTTTATTGATTCAAGAAAGAGAGGAAGGGAAGGGGGGGAGTAAGAGAGAGAGAGAGAGAGAGAGAGAGAGAGAGAGATCATTAGGTTGCTTCCTGTATGTTCCCCAACCAGGGATCAAACCCGCAATCTAGGTTATGTGTCCTAACTGAGAATCAAACTGGCAATCTTTTGGTGCACAGGACTATGTCAAACTGGCAATCTTTTGGTGCACAGGACTATGCTCAACCAACTGAGCCATGCCAGCCAGGCTATAACATTCTTTTTTAAAAATATATATTTTTATTGATTTCAGAGAGGAAGGGAGAGGAAGAGAGAGTTAGAAACATCAATGATGAGAGAGAATCATTGATCAGCTGCCTCCTGCACGCCCCCCCACTGAGGATCAAACCTGCAACCGGGACATATGCCCCTGGCCAGAATTGAACCTGGGACCCTCAGTCCACAGGCCAACGCTCTGTTCACTGAGCCCAACTGGCTAGAGCTATAACATTCTTTTTAATGGCTGCATAATATTGTGTTCTGTGGCTGGATGAATCCACTAATGCTGTTACATGACAAAGAAAAGGCCAGAATGGTAACAACAAACCTTAGATTCACAATAGGAGCAAATCAAACTTTGCTGACCTGGCAGAGGATTCACTTGCCCATGTGGCTCACACTTAACTCTGTATTTCAATGTTTCATTATCTTTGGGCAAAAGAGCCTTTTTGATCTCACACACTACCTTGGAAACCAGAAGAAAACATCTGGCACTCCCTCTGATGGGAGAACCAAAGCAACGCTATAAACACCATCTGTCAATTTTTCCTTTCAAAGGAGTCTTTCCAAATTTCTGGGGGTTCTCTTTGCCAACGCCTTGTCATAGCAGCGCCAGAAGCAAATTAAGCCATTGAAGTTTTAATGATGTCTGGTTAGGAGGCTGGGCTCCGAGGGCTTCCTGCTGCACAGGTGCACATCTTCATAGACCACCCCTACTCTCCTCCACAGGTGCCCGTCTCCACCTCCTCAAGCAGGGCAGCCATGCATGGATGTGCACTTTGTTCTCTGCACAAAAGTGCCTGGCTGAGGGGTCCAGAGAGAACTGAAATCCTGCTGCACCCAGTTTGCCAAGCTGTATACCCTGGCATTGCATCCACTCAGAGAGGGTGCCTTTTTCTATCTTGCACAAAGGCACAGTTTAGCGTAGTGGCTGGCTTTGCCCTGGAGTTTATTTAATCCCATTGTAATTGTCTATTTATATGTTTGTCTTCTTCCTAAGGTTCTTAATGACTGAAATCTGGTCTTACTTAATCTTTATTCCCACTGCAGCACAGGGATAGATGTATAGTAGACCTTAGTATAATAGCTCAATACATTACTAGGGACAAGGATATTCAACCCATACCATTAAAAAATAAAATTGTCTTTTACTATTAACTAATTACTTTTTTAAAAATCCTCACCTGAGGAGTGAGGATATTTTTTCCGTTGATTTAAATATATATATTCAGAGAGGAAGGGAGAGGGAGAGAGAGATGAAATATCAATGATAAGAGAAAAACATTGATCCGCTGCTTCTTGCATACCCCTAACTGGGGATGGTGCCTGCAACCTGGGCATGTGCCCTGACTGGGAATTGAATTGTGACCTACTAGTTCATAGGTGGACACTCAACTACTGAATCACAACAGCTGGGCTCCATTGATTTTTTTAAAGAGTGGAAGATGCCCTGACTGGTTTGGCTCAGTGGATAGAGCGTTGGCCTGCAGACTGAAGGGTCCCAGGTTTGATTCTGGTCAAGGGCATGTACCTTGGTTGCGGGCACATCCCCAGGGATGTGCAGAAGGCAACTGATCGGTGTTTCTAACTCTCTATCCCTCTCCCTTCCTCTCTGTAAAAAAAATCAATAAAATATATTTTTTAAAAAAGTGTGTGGGGGGGGAGGTGGAGAAAGAGAGAGAGAAAAAAAAAAGAGAGAGAAACATCACTGTGACAGAGACACATTGATTGGCTGCCTCTCAGCCTGCTAGTGCTCTTGACCTGGAATAGAACCTGAGACCCTCTGGTGCACAAGTCAACGCTCTAACCTAGTGATGGCGAACCTATGACACGCGTGTCAGAGGTGACACGCGAACTCATTTTTTGGTTGATTTTTCTTTGTTAAATGGCATTTAAAAATATAAAATAAATATCAAAAATATAAATCTTTGTTTTACTATGGTTACAAATATCAAAAAAGTTCTATATGTGACACAGCACCAGAGTTAAGTTAGGGTTTTTCAAAATGCTGACACGCTGAGCTCAAAAGGTTCGCCATCACTGCTCTAACCACTTAACAACACAGGCCAGGGCGACTATTTTTTACTCCTACGGATGACTCTTACCAAGTTTTCTGCTATGCTTTTTTTTCTTAGTTCCCTTTTCCTTGTTTTGTTTTATCTCCCCGCCCCCTTTTTACTAGGTTTTCTCCCTCTCCTTCATTGATTCTATAAACAACCCAATCACTTTTTGAATTGGTCATTATATATTTGTTCTCATGCCCATTCCCTGTTCTTTTTCTGAGAACTATGATCCCCAGCTCCTTTACCAACTGGATACCAGCTAGATTCAGTCAATGGGAGGCACCAGCAGGAGAATGAAGGATGGGAGGAAGAGAGAAGTCAGGGTGGTTCTTCCTCTTTCTTATTATCACTGTGGGAGCATGTTCCAGCAGTGGCTGCCATCTTCTACATGGTTTCTACTTCCCTTCCTTTCTTGGACCCAAGTCCTGCTGTCCATTTCACTCCAGCCAAGCCCAGCTCTCTCCAGAGCCAAAGTTGATAGTTGCGTGTGTATTCTTTTAGTCATTTATGCTTATGTATATGTATATGTATATGCATATGCATATGCATATGTACATGTATATCTATATCTATATCTATATCTATATCTATATATCACTCTCTGTGTATAAGGTGTCCCAAAAATGTATACATACACTTTGAATAATTATAAAGGCAGTGTTTATTAAAATACATTTCATTTTCAAAATTGAGTTATCAGCTGTTCAAGCGTGTATACATTTTTGGGGGGCACCCTGCATATATCAACATCTATCTATGTAGTTGTTATCTTTCTACAATGAGAACAATAAGCATTTTTCTGCAATTTGCTTTTTTACTTCACAATATATTGTGATAGTCACTGACAAATTGCTCCACAAAAAGGTTTCACCAATTTATACTGCCATCAGCAGAGATAAGAATCATTATTTCTCCATCCATGCAAGCATTGACTATAATTAATCCTTTTTAGCTTTTGCCAATTTGGTGAAGTGAAAAATGGGGCCTTGTTTAATTTTTAAAAGTTATTAGTGATGTTGAACATTTTTTCACTAGTTATTTTGTTCACTAGATATTTGTTTCTTCTTTAGTGAATTGCCTTTTGAACAAGTTACATCTATATTTTTCTATTGAATCATTCTGTTTTTCTTATTGATCTGTAGGGGCTCTTTTTGTATTGGGGAAATTAGCCCTTTTCTTGTTAGAGGGTCACAAATATTTTCTTCCAGTTTATTTTTTCACTTTGTGTATAGGTCTGTTGTCATCATCAAATCTGTCAACCATTTCCTTTTGAATTTGGTGTCATGATTAGAAAAGTTCTTCTCACCCATGATTTAAAATATTCTATATTTTCTTCTAATATTTTAGAGTTGTTGTGTTTATTTTTTTTAAATATATTTTTATTGATTTTAGAGAGGAAGGGTATAGAAACAAGATAGAAACATCAATGATGAGAGAGAATCATTGATTGGCTGCCTCCTGCACGCCCCCTACTGGGGATCGAGCCCGCAACCCGGGCATGACTTGGGACCCTTCAGTCCACAGGCCAACGCTCTTATCCACTGAGCCAAACCAGCTAGGGCTGTTGTGTTTATTTTTATGCTTTTGGAATTTGAAATCATCTTTATCCATTCATGGTCATTAGGATAATTGCATCTTCATTTGATGGTCATCACAAAGATCTTCAGGAACTTCAGAAGTGACCAAGAAACCTGAGTCCTTAATTGTAACCCTGAGCTTATGAAAAAGGATAAACAGTTTCAACCTGACCTCCAAAGTTCTCAGGATTCATCCTGACTTTTCTTTTGGATTTCACAGGAGAAAAGATGCCAGTGACTTTACTTCTACAGCCTTAGAACTGTTACACCCAAGCCAAGCCTCTTCCCTCCTGGTCTCTTCAACCTTATCTCCCTCTGCTCCCTTTGCTCTAGTAACTACCATGGCACAGTCTAGAACAGGGGTGGGCAAACTTTTTGACTCGAGGGCCACAATGGGTTCTTAAACTGGACCGGAGGGCCGGAACAAAAGCATGGATGGAGTGTTTGTGTGAACTAATATAAATTCAAAGTAAACATCATTACATAAAAGGGGACGTATGGTCTTTTTTTTTTAGTTTTATTCATTTCAAACGGGCCGCGGGCCGTAGTTTGCCCACGGCTGCTAGTTACTGATTCTTATTTTCCTGGAACTTTCCTCCATCCTTGCCTTTGCTCAAACTGCTTTGTTCTAATTGCTTTGGGCACCCTTCATTCTGTTCTGTAAGGTCTAACTTAAATGCCTCAGTTCTCCATGAAATCTTCCTTGATTTCTCAAGTCCACCTAAATACTCTTTCCTCTCTACTCTTCAGCCATGGAATGTGTTATTTAGATGATTATTTGCCAGGTACTGTCATTATCTGTACAACTAAATGTCTGATTCCCTCACTTGACCTCCCTCAGAGCATCTTTGTAGACTCATGGTGCCTGACACTTGGTAGGACTTAGCCAATGCTGGATGGCTACATGAATAAAAAATTGTAGAGCTGATTATATTTTTCCTACCTCTGCTCTTAGACTCCCCAAGAGTCTAGTAGTGTATGAAGGGAGGGAGAAAGAGTAGAAAAAAGAGGGGGAGGATTGTGAGGTGGTGTTCCTTGGACTGAAATGCTATTTGTAGACCAATTTCTAGTTGCACTGGGAGGAAACAGACACAGGGCAGGGTTAGTAGAGGACTGGCATCCTGTTCAGTCTTTTCTGGTCACAGGTTGAGTTACGACCGGGATTAATACCTGGAAACTGACACATATGAGTCACTCCTAGGAAGGTGGAGAAATATTTGATTTTCCAGGAAATGTCCCCACTTCCTTCCCATTTCTTTGTCCCCCCCCCCCCCACGCCCTTATTTCTTAAGGATGGGTTGCCTCCATGGGGGCTGGGTGGTACATAGCAGGCTGGCCTAGGAGTCAGTAGTCAGCAACCTGGTCCCCACTTAAAGCAAAAAGGCAGAGAAAGAAATATTATTAGATCAGGAGACTTAGGCTGATGGGGAATCTCAGGAAGACCCTGTCTGATGGGGGAGGCTTGTCTCTAGACTCAGGGACAAGCTAGAGGAGAGGCACAGGTCCAACCCTCTAAAGGTTTTTCCTTCCTAATCCTCCATGGCACCATAGTCTCCTGATTCCTTTTCTGCTTCTCTGGCCACTACTTTTCCACCTTTTTCTCTGCTTCCTCTTCCCATGCCCTACTTGTCAGTGCTTCAAAGGGTCCTATCCTCAGAAGTTATAATTAATCTGAATTTCCATTCTTCTAGCCAAACCTTCAAGAATTTGATTCAGGTCAAAAACCTTAAAGTCATCCTGAGTCCTCTCATTTCCTCACACCATGCAACTAATTTGTGAGCAAAAAAAAATTTTTTTAATCCTCATCTGAGGATATGTTTATTGATTTTTTAGAGCTAGAGGAAGGGGGAGAGAGAGAAACATCAATGTGAGAGAGAAACATCTATCACTTGCCTCCTGTACACGCCTTGACTGGGGATCAAACCCAAAACCTAAACATGTGTCCTGACCAGGAATTGAAACCAAAAGCTTTTGGTATGTGGATCATCCTCTAACTCAGTGGTTCTCAACCTTCCTAATGCCGCGACCCTTTAATACAGCTCCTCATGTTGTGGTGACCCCCAACCATAACATTATTTTCATTGCTACTTCATAACTGTAATTTTGCTACTGTTATGAATTGTAATGTAAATATCTGATATGCAGGATGTATTTAGGCGACCCCTGTGAATGGGTCATTCGACCCCCAAAGGGGTCGCGACCCACAGGTTGAGAAACGCTGCTCTAACTGAACCACCCAGCCAGGTGGTTGTGAGCAAATTCTTATGGCTCTACCTTCAAAATGTGCCCAGAACCTGACCATTTCCAAACACTTTCACTGCTACTATCACTCTGCTCTACAGTACTATCATTTCCTGCCCGGATTACTGCAATAACCATTATGTGCTTCCACACTTGCCCTTCTTGCTCAGTGTAGCAGCTACAGTGATTTTGCTAAAAAGTTAGATCATTTCCCTTCTCTGCTCAAAACTCTCCTATGGTTTGCAGCTCATTTAGAGTAAAAGCCAAAGTCCTTAAAACTATCCTCAAGACACTACGTGATATAGCCAACTGTTACCTCTTTGTCACTTCATCTCCTACTATTCCTTTCTTTGCTCACTCCATTCCAGTCACACTGGACTGCTTAGTTTTCTTAGAACATAGAAGGTGAGCTCCCACCTCAGGGCCTTTATATTTACTGTTCCCTTGCATTGGCCTGGCATTCTCTTTTTTTAGATATTTACATGACTCATTTCCTCACTTCCTTCAGGTGTTCTTTTTGGCCAGGGTGTGTCACTTCCTTCAGATCTTTACTCAGATGTCACCTTTCCCTGGCCATCCTTTATAAATTTCAACCATGGCCCTAGCTGGTTTGGCTCAGTGGAAAGAGTGTCGGCCTGGGGACTGAAGGGTCCTGGGTTTGATTCTGGTCAAGGGCATGTACCTCAGTTGCAGGTCAGCGTGTGTGCGAAGGCAACCAACTGATGTGTCTCTTTCACATTGGTGTTTTTCTCTGTCTCTCTCCCTTCCACTTTCTCTAAAAATCAATGGAAAAATATACTCAGGTGAGGATTAACAAAAAAATAAAAAATAAGAAATTTCAGCCATGAATACTTTCTATCTTTCTTGTGCTTTATTCCTTTTCTTAACAGTACCACCATTATTATTATGTTATTTTTTTCTAGAATGTAAGCTCTGTGAGAGCAGGGATTTTTTTTGGCGGGGTCTCTTTTATATACTGCTGTATTCCTAGTGTGTAGAACAATGCCTGCTATATTGCAGGAACTCAATAATACTTGTTAAATGAATGAATAAAAAGTTTATTTGGCCCTGGCTGGGTAGCTCAGTTAACTGGAGCATCGTCCTGTACACCAAAAGGTTTCGAGTCAGGGCATATACTTAGGTTGTGAGTTTGTTGATCCCCATTATTATTACCCTCTGACTTTTCCTACTTTGAGAGGAGAGGCTTCTATTTCTCCCACCATTTAGGAACTTTTGGGAACAAAGATTCACCTCATTCAGTTATGAATCCGCCATGCACCTGATTCCAGAAGACATCCAATAAACGCACAAGGCAGTAAAGGTTTGGGATTGGATTAAACTGGTTGAATGCCAGAATTGGAGGATTTCGAGGTCACCTTTCAACCCACTCACTTATAAATGAGGAAAGTGAAGCCATTATCAGATTTAAGTCTTGTACCAGGTCAGTGACCCGGGACCGGAAGCGAGACATCCCGATTCCCAAGTAGGTCTCGTTGGTAAATACTTCTGCTTCCCTTCGTTTCCAGGCTCTCGGTTCCCGCCAGATAGATGCCTATCTTCCAGTAGTGGTTCAATCCCCTGACTTGGAGGGAACCAGGAGAAGAGGCTAGAGGCCCAGCTGGATGAAAGGAGATGCAGCCGAGGGTAAAGGAGCGAGAAGAGGTCAGAGGTCGCATCTCATCTGCCAACTGCCCTTTGCCCCTTCAACTCTGGTCCCTGCATTCCGACCCGTCTCCCTAAATCCGCTCCTACGCCTTCCCCTCTCAGTGACCCTTTCCTTCTGCCTTCCCTTAGGGTCCGCAGGGTTCACCCATTCCAATGGCAACGCCCCAGGTAGGAGCAGCTGTTTGGCACTAAAAGGGAGATAAGTTACGTCACGTCGGTTCCTCCCACTGGACCGAGGGGCGTGGTGCGAGGCGTCATGACGTCAGACGCCCAAGGGGGCGGAGCGGTGAGGGGAAGGAGGAGGGAAGTAGGACTTCAACATGGCGGCTGTGGTACTGGCTTCGGCTGCGGTGACGGCCTGGCCTGGGGCGGACAGAGTGGAAGGTGGTGGTGTTCGCTCTCCCTAGAAGCCGTCAGCGGGGACCGAGCGTGGGAGGTCGGCGGCGCCAGCACCTTTCGGCTTCTGGGACGGCGGCGGCAGCGGCGTCAGGTGAGGGGGGAGGCGCCTCCTTCTGGGGCAGGGAGAGGAGGGGCGGCATTGGGGGTAGGGCGCCGGTCCCGGGATACGGGTGAGGGAGGGAACCCGGGGAAGAGGCTCGAGGCCCCGCTGGATGGAAGGAGATGCAGCTGAGGGTGTAGGAGTGAGAAGAGGCCGGAGACCGTGCCTCGGGGAGGCTTCAGGGAGAGGGGCCGGCGTGAGGGGGCCAGAGTTGAAGGGGCGGAGGGCAGATGGGTTGTGGGGAAATGAATTCGGATGAAGGGGACTAATACGTGCGGGACGATAGGCTGTGTAGACATCGGCCTCTCTTGCTGGAGTGAGAGCTCGGTGGGAACTGGAGGATGCCCGGGAGGGGGACCCAGGTGTTAGTCAGGAAGGTGAGTGATGTGGAGTTGAGGGTGAGTTGGGGACGCGCGGCGCAGATTTGGTTCTTCCTGAGGTGACGAGATGGGGGAGAAAAAAGGGAGTCGACCAGCCGCGGGCTGAGTGATCTTTGGGGATACCTTTGACATGGCCAGGCCTTCTCCAGGTATGTTTACTTTGCCTCTTGTTGTTTCTTGGGTGGAGACTTACCTGGACCGTCCACCTGGGCCTCTGAAACAACCGCAGATCTTTCTTGCGGAACATCAAGTTACAGTTCATTTATTTGATCTGTATCAGCGCTCTCTGGCCTTGGTGTTCTCGCCACATGGACTGGATTCCAGAGTAGCCTCTTAAAGTATGACTGAACATAAAAATAGATTTTATATGAAGCCGAAAATTTTGAGAGTTTTTAGCCACCATGGTTGCAAACCAGATTTGGTAATTTAGTTAACTATTAAATGAGTGTTTTCTCTCTATCCTCAGTTGTGTATTAGTATTTGAGAATTAGGTTAGATACAGTGGACGTTTCTCTTTATAAAAATTTTATCAGATTTGGTGGTGGGGAAAACAGGGCACTTAGTCTTTAGTGATAGCTAGCTCTTTAGTTAATGTCTCAAAACAAGTTAAACTGAAACTTTCTGAATTTTTATAGCAAATGTTTTGGACTGAAAGTGTCCAAAGTCTAAAGAATTACATTGTCTGCATTAACTTTTTTATTTATTTATCTTTTTGTTGAAAGTATTACAGATGTCCCCTTTTTAACCCCCACTTACTCCCACTACCCCACTCCTGTCCTCCCTTCTTCACTGCACTATTGTCTGTCCATGGGTTATGCATATGTGCATATAAGTTCTTTGGTTAATCACTTCCTGCCCCCCCCTTCTCTCTGAAATTTGTCATTATTTACTTTTAAGTGGAATTAAAAATTTTTATTGACTATAGGCCCGGTGTACGAATTTGTACACAGGTTGGGGGGGGGGGTCCCTTGGGGTGGCCTGCAGAGATCAGGCCTCATCTCATGCCTCCAGCCTCGCAGCCCCACAGCCCCACGTGGCACCCTGCCTTGGCCTGGCGGGGCTCCCTCACCTACTCTACCATCCCACCTGCGGGGCGATAGATCAGGGTTGGGCCCCCTGCCTGGCTCCCTCAGCGCCTAGGAGCTGGGCAGCAGTCCCGCCCCCTACTGCTGCTGTTGGTCGATGTCTGCAGGGTCGTCGGCAGGGCTATTGGGCCCCGCTCGCACCGGCCTTGGCCTGGCACCGCCCGCTCACCTGCTCCACCATCCTGCCGCGGTCCCGCTCTCTTTGGGGCCCATCTTTGGGGCCCATCGGAAGGAGGTGCTGCTCACTGCCAGCGTGGTGTCACCCCCTGGTGATCAGTGCATGTCATAGTGAGCAGTCGAACTCCTGGTCTCCCAGTCAAGGTCTCCCAGTCCAACTCCAGGTTGAACAACTGCCAATTTGCATATTAGGCTTTTATTATATAGGATTTTAGAGAGAGGAAGGGGGAGAGAAACATCAGTTTGTTGTTCTACTTATTTATGCATCCAGTGGTTATTTTGTTTTTTATTGATTTTAGAGAGAGGAAGGGAGAGGGGCAGGGAGAGAGAGAGAGAAATCGATGGACTGCCTCCTGCAAGACCCCCACTGGGAATAGAGCGCACAACCTGGGCATGTACCCTGACCGGGAATTGAACCAAGTGCTCAACCAACTGAGCCACACTGGCCAGGACAGTGGTTGATTCTTGTATGTGCCCTGACCAGGATGCACCACAACCATGGCATATCTTGATGACGCTCTAACCAACTGAGCTACCCAGCCAGGGCTTTAAGTGGAATTTTATAAATTAAATTTTTGTTTCTAACCCATCCTATTCATTTTTTTCTGCCCTACTCTTTCTGTTACTTATTAAACATTTATTGAATGCCTATTGTTGCATTAATAAGTCATTATAATTATGGAAATGGGAGTTTGTTTCTTTAGTGAGCATCTCTATCACTGTGTAGCAAATAACTTGCTATGGCCTCATTGGAAGATAAAGTGTTATCTATATACATTGGGGCCTTGACTTACGAGTGTCCAGACTAACGAGTTTTTCGAGATACGAGCCTTCTCTCGGCCGATTTTTTGCTTTGAGTTGCCAGCTAAAATTCGGGTTACGAGCCAGTTTTAGATACCCCACCGCTAGTTGGCGCAGCGAACGTCACAGTGAACGCCACAACATCAGCCCAGCATCACGTGTCTCACTCGTTCACTTTATGATTTGACATACGAGTAATTTGAGTTACGAGCTCCGTCATGGAACGAATTAAACTCGTAAGTCAAGGCCCCACTGTATATAAAAGCCTAAGTGACCATTATGACCGAACAACTGGAACGACCAGACTTCTGGCCAGTAGCTATGATGCGGACTGACCCAGACCTTGTTGCTGGGGCCCTGACAGCCCCAAATCTGGTTCTCCTGCACCCCGGACCCAGACAGGAGGGAGCAAGGAGCCAATTCCTCGTGGAATCGGCCGTTGGTTAGCTTGCTGCTGGGGCCAACCTCCCGTGGTCCCTCTCCATGGCGGGCTGGCCTCCCTGATTGGCCCCATCACTGGCCAGGCCAAGGGACCCCACCTGTGCATGAATTCATGCACCGGGCCTCTAGTTTTAGAAATAAAGACAGGAAGAAAATTAAAGCATGTGAATAAAAGAACTTTCTGAATTTTCTTTTGTATTTGATGCATTACCTCATTATGGTATATTTTATGTATATCTGAGAGATTTTATTTTTCATTTTGATTTTGAAGAAGACAGTCATAGTATCCTGATAAAATAATATTAGGTCGGTAAACAATTCTCAATAATGGTTGCTGGATCACATTTGTCTAGGACTGGCAAATGTCACTTTATCTTGTTTATCTTTTCTTTTTGTGGTATTTAAAATGAGATTTCAAAGTTTAATTCAGTGACTAAAATTCTCTCAAGTATTTTCTGCATTATAAGTGAATCTTCATTAGCCCAGAGTGTAGATGTCAGTATTATAAATATTTCCTGTTCTCTGATTATACTGTTGAATGTTTGGAGTTTTTTCACATGTACAGTGGGGCCTTGACTTACGAGTGTCCCGACTAACGAGTTTTTCGAGATACGAACCGATTTTTTGCTTTGAGTTGCCAGCTAAAATTTGGGTTACGAGCCAGCTTCAGATACCCCACCGCTAGTTGGCGCAGTGAATGTCACAGTGAACGCCACAATATCAGCCCAGCATCACGTGTCTCACTCGTTCACTTTATGATTTGACATACGAGTAATTTGAGTTACGAGCTCCGTCACGGAATGAATAAACTCGTAAGTCAAGGCCCCACTGTAGATTATTTTAGTGTGAACTTTTTCCCATAGACCAACCATAAAACCAACCATCAGTTCATCATTAATTAGGTAATTTTCTTTAAACAATCTTTCTCAATACATGCATAAGGTATTGTGTAGTATCTTAATGTATTAAATAAGCTTTTTCTTAGGGCAAAAATATTTGAAGTTTAGAAATTAACTGGATTTAGTTTCTCATATAGCATGAGAATCCCTACTTCTGTATCATGAAGATAAGTGAAAAAATTTATCTTTTCCAGAATCTTAATTGCTTATATGAAAAAGCCTTTCAGGTAGAGAAAGAAGTAAGGAGCAGATTCTAACCTATAGCCACAATTTCTTATAGTATTGGAAAATAATTTGAATGTAAGAGTAATGTTTTCCTATAAATTGAGAGTTGTAATTTCAGGCTTTAAAAATTTAGGTGAAGGTAGCAAGATTTACAAAGGGAAAGGTGCTAACACTGGGTATATGCTGATGAGCTAGGCATTGTTAACACTTTACGTAACTTAATCCTTACAGTTTGATCAGGTAGGCAGGTTTGATATGCATCCTTTTTGGTGTTGAGGATCAGAGAATTAAGTAATTTAAGGTTACAGCTATAAAGTGGTTAGATTTGTCTAATTTTAATGCCCATCTATTATACCATTTTGTCCCTTTTAAGTGGTCACAGAGCCATTCTAATTCCTGTCAAATAAATTTAAAGTGTAAGCACTTTTTAATTTTAAAGTTATGTCCTTTAAAACTCCTCCTTCTCATTGAAATAGTAATGTTATTACAATAAGTACTTCACTAAAATTTTAGTCAATTAAGATGTCATCAGTATTCTAGGAGTAAATGACTGTTTTTGTACTTAACAAAATAAGCTAGAGAAACTGGATAAGGGACTACAAGTTTTCTTACTTGTATTGCTGAGTCAGGTTGGACCCAGTTTATTAAGGGCCAAAATTTGTATTTGGCAGTAATCCGAACATGTTCTCAGAATTCTGGATTGGTCATTATCAGTTGCTTAATACTTACCAAACACTTCCAGTTTTTGAGTCATTGAATTGGCTCATGGTAAATGTGAATATTGTGCTTATGGAGTCAAGAGCCAGCAGTGTGTGTTTTGGTTGCTTCACTTCCTCCCTAACACTTGATGTTGTCAGACTTGAAAATTTTTTTCTAATCTGGTGTGTTTGAAATGGTATCTATTATGTTTTTATTAGCATTTTATGAAATTGAGCATCTTTTCATATGTTCATTGGCCATTTGTGTTCCTGTGAAGTTTTATGCCTATTTTTATTGAGTTGTTTTTTTCTGATTGATTTTTAAGAATTCTTTATATACTTTGAGTACTAATTATTTGTTAATTTATGGGTTGCAAATATTCTTTCAATTTATGACCTGTCATGAGACTTCTAAGGATCTTAGTGAGAATGTCAAAGACATGGAGCAGGGCTTGCTTCAGTGGGGCTTTGGTGCTCACTGAGTCTGCCTCTTGAGTGTGTCACTTGTGGATGTGTAGAGTTGTAACCTAGTATGATCTGAAGCTGTTCACTGGGTGCACTGGCTCTAGGGCCTCCAGGGAGATGCATTGGGGCAGGAACTTGGGGGCGGCTTTATCCCAGACAGGGGTGCTGACAGGGGTCATTGTTCCTGTGCTGGAACCTCCCCTGTCACAGGGCTGACTGGCAGCCGTATCTGAGTCTCCATCAGCCTGGAGCACACTGTTTGCTCTGCCTTGGTGATTCCCTGACACCCTGCCCCATCCAATTTGCAGCCCCACCCAAGCTGTTTGTAGCAGCTTTTCCATTTGAATGGCCTCTCCTGGCTCAGGTTTCAGACTTTGCTAAAATCTCTCAAACAAGCTACAGCTGGTGACAAGTGTACCCAAACCTATCAATAAAAGACCTAAGACCTGGCACTAGCTTTGCTTCACTGCTGGGCCTCCAAGTCATCTGCAAATCCCTCTGTAGCTCTTGCCAGGTGGCCCCAGGTAGTGGCATGCCATATGTGTCTGGGTCCCCCAAAGCCACTTGGTGCTGGAAATTCAAGTAAGTTCTTGCACAGGCCCTTTAAATGGGACACCTGGGTCTTCAGCAGCCTCCTTGTCACTCAGCCACAATCCCTGCTGGTTTTTACAGCCTTTAGATGCGGGGGGACTTCTCTTCCCAGCTCTGGGACCCTGGACTGGGGTCTGGTGTGGGGCCAGGACCTCTTGTTCCTCATGGGTGGCCTCCTCAGAGACGATTTCCTTCCCAATTAAAAAAATGGCACATGTGGGTGTCGGACCAGCCCTCCTACCAGTCTCAATGTGCTTTCTTCTTCTCTAGTTGTAGGACTTCCATTCAGCCAGGTTTCAGGTGGTTCTGAATGATGGTTGTTTTATATTTTAGTTGTAATTTTGATGTGGTTGTGGGAGGCAGCGAGTACAGGCATTTATCTACTCCACCATCTTGGTTCTATTTATATTTTCCTTTTTTAAACATTTTTTATTTTACTTTTTCCATCACTGTTTATCCCCTCTATGCTCTCTTCCACCTTCACTCTCCCCCCCCCATCTCCACACTGTTGTTCATGTCCATGAGTTCTCTGTTTTTCGTTCAATCTCTCCACCTTCCCTACCCCCTGACCCCCACCCCAGAGCTGTCTCCATGTTCTTTATGAGCCTGTCTCTGTTTTGTGTGGTAATTCAGTTTGTTCATGAAATTCTACATATAAGTAAAATCATATGGTACTTGTCTTTCTCTGACTGGCTTATTTCACTTATCATAATGTTCTCCTGATCTATCCATGCTGTTGCAAAGTGTAAAATTTTCTTTCTTTTTATGTCAGGGTAGTATTCCATTGTGTAAATATACCACAGCTTTTTTATCTACTCATCTATTGATGGACACTTGGGTTGCTTCCAAATCTTGGCTATTGTAAACAACGCTGCAGTGAAATAGGGGTGCATATATTTTTTCGAATTATTGTTTCGGGCTTCTTTGAATATATTCCCAGAATCACTGGGTCATAAGGCGGTAACTTTTAGTTTTTTTGAGATAACTTTCCACAGTGGTTGCACCAATCTGCATTCCCACCAACAGTGTATGAGGGTTCCCTTTTCTACATCCTCACCAGTACTTGTTAGTTGATATATTGATGATAGCCTTTCAAACAGGTGTGAGGTGATATCTCATTATGATAGAGCTTCTTTAAAACATCCCTGATGTTAGCTGGTTTCTAAAATTATGTATTAAATCAGGGGCTCAAGCAGCCTCTCCCCAGCCATTTGCCTCTCAAAAACAGCTGCTTCTTTGATGACCGATGATATCCAATAATATCAATAAATATTAGGACACCAAGATGAAAATGCTCATTTCCTGAGCATATTCACAGCTCTCATGGTTGGATGCTTAGATACTGCTTCTTTCCCATGAAAGATTTAGGAAAAAACACATTTTTGGTATGTGCCTATGTGGGAAGGTTCAGGCTGTCAAGAATCTGGCTTCAAGGTTCAAAAGTCTCACTGTATTGTTGTGGTTTATATACATAATGATGACTCTAGAGCCTGTAAGAGCCTATGAAATGTCTTCTGCACATATAAAAGGTTAAATCATTTTCATTATGGTTTGTTGGTTCTTTGAAAATCACCCCTAAAAGAATCCCTGTAGCCCTTAGCTAGGATCTTTCCATCCTTCTCAGTTAATTTGTATATATATTGCAAGGTATGGATTAAGGGTGGGGTTTTTTTGCATATGAATGTTTGGCACCATTTTTTGAGAAGACCAACCTTTCCCCTTTGAAATTCCTTTGTACCTTTGTTTGAAGTCATTTGGCTGGCTCTGTTGGCCTGAGTGCTGCAGGGTCTCAGGCTGCAGGTTTGATTTCCTGTCAAGGGCATGTACCTGGGTTTCAGGTTCGATCCCCAGCCCCAGTTGGGGCACCTGTGGGAGGTTACCAATCCGTGTGTCTCTCTCTTCCCCTCCTTCCCTGCCATTCCTACCTCCCCCCTTTCACTCTCTCTAAAACTCAGTGGAAAAAATATCCTTGGGTAAGGATTAACAAACAAACAAAATCATTTGGCTATATGTGTATGAGTCTATTTCTGGACTCTGTTCTGTTGGTCTATGTGATATCATTATACCATTTCCACACTGTCTTTTAATTAGCGTAGCCCTTAGTAAGTTGATGGTAAATTCTCCAACTTTCTTCTTTTTCAAAATTGTTTTGGCTATTATATTTCCTTTGCCTTTCCATGTAAATTTTAAAATAAACTTGTCTGTTTCTTTTTAAAAAAAAAAAAATCCCAGCTCTGGTTGGGTGGCAGATAATCAATTAATTGGAACATAATTGGGACAGTGGCTCAGTTGGTTGGAATGTCATCCCGTACACCAAAAGGTTGAGGGTTCATTTTCCTATCAGGGTACATACCTAGGTTGCAGGTTCATTCCCCAGTCAGAGCGAGTACTGCAGGCACCTGATCAATGTTTTTTCTTTCTCTCTAAATCAATAAAAACATATCCTTGGGTGAGGATTAAAAAACAAAACTAAAAAAAAAGATCCTTTGCAGATTTTTATTCTGTTTTGAGTAATTTTTACAAATAGGTACAGTATATTTACTTTAAAAAAAGGTTACAGTGGAAAATAAAAATGTTTTCACTATGATGCCTTGCAATATGCTATAGTACTGGCTAATAGATACCATACCATAAATTCATATACTTAGTCTTAATTTTTTTCTGCTTATGTCTTAGGTAAATTAAATACCATACTATATCAAGGGAGATAAACTTTAGGTTGAAGAGCTGAGAGTATTTGTGTAAGAAAAGACTTTGCACCTACTTCCTTATCTAGGGGTTGAAAGTGCAAAGATAATATTAAACTAGATGTGTGGTTTTATGTTTTCCCCCCCTTCATTTTTAAAAAATTTTATACAAAATTAAAATAGTACAAAGGTTGTATGTCATTCATTTCCACCTCAGAAATTTCTGTCTTTTTAAAAAAATATATTTTTATTGATTTCAGAGAGGAAAGGAGAGGGAGAGAGATATGGAAAAATCAATGATGATAGAGAATCATTGTTTGGCTGTCTCCTGCTCGCCCCTTACTGGGGATTGAGCCTGTAACCTGGGCATGTGCCCTGACCTGGACTCTAATCATGCCATAGATGGATGCTCAACCACTGAGCCACACTGGCCAGGCTCTGCTTTCTTTTTTGAGACTTTGGAACTGAGAAGTTTGAGGGCTATGTCAGTCCTGTTACCTTTTAGTCTTCTGGTTTCCTTTTTATAGCTTCAATTTTCTTTCTTTTAAAAAAATTTTTTTTTAAGTTTTTTATTTTTGTTGATTTTAGAGAGAGAGAAACATCAATTTGTTGTTCCATCTATTTGTGCATTCACTGTTTGATTCTTGTGTGTGCCCTGACTGGGGATTGAACCTACAACCTTGGCAAATCAGGAAGATGCTCTAACCAACTAAGCTACCCAGCCAATTTTCTTGTCATGATTTGTTTATATTTTCTCAAGACATCATAAGTCTAAAAAATATTTCTTTGTTTTTCAGATTCTAAATGGCTTCTAAGAAGTTGGGTGCAGATTTTCATGGTAAGTAGACTATTAGATATTATGCTTTAAGTTTTGATTTGATCAGAAATTTGAAATCACTTATTTAAGTGCTCCTTTTTGTTTATTCAAATGAGCAGCTTGAGAAAAATAAAAGTGTACAAGGTAGCATATACATTCCCTAGGGCTTCAGATAACTTTAATACATGTATTTTTTACTTTGGAATTTTTTTCCCATTACTATTTACATTCGGTATTCTGTATTAGTTTCAGGTGTACAGCATAGTGGTTAGACAATCATATACTTTACAAGGTAGTCCCCCAAATATTTCAAGTACACCATACATTGTTATTACAATATTATTGACTATATGCCTGATGCTGTAATTTACATCCCTGTGACTATCCTGTAACTGCCAATTTTTACTTCTTAATCCCTTCACCTTTTTTATCTAGCCCCCCAACCTCCCTTTCCTTTGGCAATGGGCAGTCTGTTCTCTGTGTCTGTGAGTCTTTTCTATAGATAGCTTTAATATTGAAATATTTCCTCAAATGGATAGTTAGTCTCTCTGTGTTTTATTGTACTTGTAACTACCAGAGTTGGTTAGGGAGGCTGCCTCTTTTTGTTGTTCTTTTTCTTAAATCCTCACTGTTAGATGTTTTCTTTGTTGATTCAAAAGAGGGAAGGGGGCGAGGGGGGGGGGGAGAAGCACTGATGTGATTGGTTGCCTCATGCACACGCTCCAACTGGGGATTGAACTCACAACCTTGGGTGTATGTGCCCTGATCTGAACCAAACCTGAGACCCTTCGGTGCATGGGCTGGGGCTTTAATCATTGAGCCACATTGGCAAAGGCTTCATTGTTCTTTGGCAGTATTTTGAAATATTTATCATTCCCTGGTCATAGCTCTTCTCCATATCAGGTATGAAAAATTCTAAACCTTTAGCTAATATTTTGATTAAGTTGCCCCTCCCCAAAAGGAAGTAATATACTAAAGTAAACCATGATCAGTAGATCAATGTATTATAGAAGTACCAATAGTAGTAATTACAATTTTGCACTAGAGACTAATAGTTTACCATCTTTTTCTAAGATATGGCATTTATAAACTTTATTATCTGCACTTGGAAGGAATGGAGGTGCCTAAGAAGTCATAATTAAAGACCTCTTTTCATATAGAAGATAAGAATCAAAGAACAGAAATATCCAAGCAACACAATTATTTTTAAAAGGGTTTTAAAACTGATCTTTCATTTTATAAATCATGTCATTGTAAGAATGATTTGCTAGACAACTTGGCAACATGTGTTGGTCTGCTCTTCTGATTATGAAATTGTTTGATTGTGTGACTCACCTCAGTCAAGGTGGTACAGCAGGCACTGGGCTGTCAACTTGCTTATATACACTATACAACAGCTTTAATATCTTGAATCACCATTGTGTATATACTTACACTCATTACTTGCATATATTTTGTTAAATCCCTTTGGAGTTAAGTCATTGAAATTCTGGAATTTGCATTTTATATACTAGTACAGGTCAGCCATCAGATCTGCCAGGTAAGTTATCCTGTGTAAGGTTTATTACAGGGCTCCTTCAAAGCACAGTAAAGTGCAACATAATGATGTTGTAGTTAACAGATTGAATATAGGATGGTGGTACCATAAAATTATAATGGAGCTGAAAAATTCTTATCACCTAGTGATGTTGTAGCTGTTGTCATGTAGCACAAAAATGCATTACTTTTGTTTGTGATGATGTTGGTATAAGCAAGACACTTTATAATAATACACAATTATACACAGTACATAATGCTTGATAATAATAGTAAACAACTGTGCTATTGGTTTATGAATTTACTGTATTATACTTTTTATTTAAAAAATATTTTTATTTCATAATGGGAGAGGGAGAGAGAGATAGAAACATCAGTGATGAGAGAGAATCATTGATTGGCTGCCTCCTGCACACACACCCCCCTCCCCCTACTGGGGATCAAGCCCGCAACCCTGGGCATGTGCCCTTGACCAGAATCGAACCCCGGACCCTTCGGTCTGCAGCCCGATACTATATCCACTGAGCCAAACCGGCCAAGGCACTTTTTATTATTTTAGAATATACTGTATATACTTTTTTTATATAAAAAAACTTTTTTTTTACATAAAAAGAAGTTTGCCATAGCACAGTATGCTCTGTTACGCTGGGAGCAGACTTAGACATCTCATGTTTACTGCACCTCTTTTTTTGTTTGTTTTTTAATATATTTTTATTGATTTCATAGAGGAAGGGAGAGAGAGAAATAGAAACATCAATGATGAGAGAGAATCATTGGCTACCTACTGGGGATTAAGCCTGCAACCCGGGCATGTACCTTTGACCGGAATTGAACCTGGGACCCTTCAGTCTGCAGGCTAATGCTCTATCCACTGAGCCAAACCAGCTAGGGCTGCATCTCTTGATTGCATCATTTTCTCTTATGCTGTTTTGCTCATCATGGCCTCTAGTGTACAAATATCCACTGCTAATGTTATCACTAAGCAGCCACATTGAGTGATTGCTTTAGAAATGAAATTGAGTGATCATATAATCTTTTATATATACATATATATTTTGATTGATTTCAGAGAGGAAGGGAGAGGGAGAGAGAGAGAAACATCAGTGATGAGAGAGAATCATTGATCTGCTGCTTCCTGCACACCCCTAGTGGGGATTAAGCCTGCAACCCAGACATGTGCCCTGACAGGGAATGGAACCCTGACCTCCTAGTTCATAGGGTTGATATTTAACCACTGAACTACACTGGCCAGGCTGATCATATAATCTTAAAGAACAAGAACAAAGTGATGGAAATTGTTAAAGGATCTATGTCATTGAAGGCAATAAGACTAACAAAAATTTGAGAAGGGCTTATAACAGACATGGAAAAACTTCTAATGACCAGACATATAGGTGTATCTGCCCTCTCAGCACTGTGATGATCACAGGCAAATCAAAAAGTTTGTTTGCGATTTTGAAAGAAAAGCCCGGACCTGACTGTAATGTTGTATTTACTGCTAGCTCTAGGTGGTTTAAACGATTCAAGAATTGTTATTCATTACATAATGAAAAAGTGAATGGTGAGTTAGTCTGACAGATGTGAAGGTTGAAGAAATTTTGGAAACTCTAGATATGCTGATTGTGGAGGAAAATTACTTGCCAGAGCAAATATTCAATATGGATGAAACCTCCTATTCTGGAAGCGGATGCCTAAGGGACTTACTTCTATTAAGGAGACTAAATAAGTGCCAAGTTTCAAGGCTTTTACCAGTGAGAACAGAACAGTCTTTTTTAAAAACATTTTTAAAAAATATATATTTTATTGATTTTTTTATAGAGAGGAAGGGAGAGGGATAGAGAGTTTGAAACATCGATGAGAGAGAAACATCGATTCAGCTGCCTCTTGCACACCCCTCCTGGGAATGTGCCTGCAACCAAGGTACATGCCCTTGATCGGAATCGAACCTGCGACCCTTCAGTCCGCAGGTCCGACACTCTATCCACTGAGCCAAACCAGTCAGGGCAGAACAGAACAGTCTTGCTTGGGAGCAATATTGCAGGTTACAAATTGAAACCCTTTCTGATTTGGCACAGTGAAAACCCCAGGATCTTGAAACATATCATTAAGCACACACTGCCAATGTACCACAGAAACTGTAAGTAGTCATGGATGACCAAGCTCCTCTTCCAAGATGCTCTCCTGAACTGCTTTGCTAGCAAAATGGAGAAGTACTATTTTAAGATTTTTGTGTATTGCTAATAACCCTCTTGAACACTCTCTTTTTATTGATCTTCATCCCAAAATCAAATCTCCCGCCAAATACCACTCTTTGATGCAATCAATGGGTCAAGGAGTTATAGTAGCTTTTAAGGCGTATCACCTGAAGAGGACCTTTGCCCAGGCTTTTGCTGCAGCTGAGGAAGACACTGATGCAATTCTGGAAGGATTATAACATTCTATGACTGCAACAAGAAACTTGCTTGAGCTTGGGATGGTGTCACCAAGGAGTTATGAATGGCATCTGGAAGCAGACATTCAAGAGGTTCATCTGTGACTTCAGAGGATTTGCCAAGCATGAGGAGGTTGCAAAAATCAACAAGTTGTGGTAAAGATGGCAAGCAACTTTAACCTGTCTGGATAAGGATGACATTGAGCAGCTCGTAAAGGTGGTTCCTGAGTAATTGACTAATGAGGAGTTAATTGTAATTGGAACAGGAACACATAGCTGAAAATGAGGCAAGAGAAAGCGAAATTGCAGGAGAGGAAAAAGAAGACCCCCGCTTCCCCCAAGAAAATTTACAATGGAGGGTTTAGCAAAAGCTTTTGTAAACCTTAACAAGCTCCTTAAAAAGTTCAAAACATGGACCTCAACATTGCAAGGTTTTCATTAACAGGAATGTTTATGGTGCAGTATTTGCTTAGAAGCAAATCTGATGGAAAAAAGAAACCAAGCAAACCCCGTGGACATGTTTTCTGAAGATTGACACCTCCTCAAGAAGAGCCCAATACAGATCCTTCAGGAGGTATTTTAGAAGTCAGCACTGTTATTATAGGAGATGACAGCTCCAAGCATGTTATTTCCCTTGAAGACCTTGTAGTGGGATAAGAGGTGGATATGGAAGACAGTGATGTTGATGCTCCTGATGACCCTGTGTAGGCTAGTGTCTGTTTTTTAGTTCTCACCTGAGGAGGATATGTTGGTTTTTTTAAAAAATTGATTTGAGAGAAAGAGATCGGGAGAGAAATACTAGTATTGATGGGAGAGAGAAATATCAATTGGTTGCCTCCTTTAGGAGTTCTACCGGGAGGGAATTGAATCCCCAGTCTTTTAATGTGTGAGACTGTGCTTCGAACACCTGAGCTACCCAGCCAGGGCTCTGTCTTAGTTTCTTTGTTTGTTATTTTTAAAAAATATATATTTTTTATTATTGATTTAAGAGAGGAAGGGAGAGGGAGAGAGAGAAACATCAGTGATGAGAGAGAATCATTGATTGGCCGCCTCC